ATTGTAATATTTTATTATATTTACATTTTCAGTTGACCAAATTTTGTAAATATTTTAAATATCAATTTTAGAATTTATAATACTTTAATAAATTTTCTTGTAATTAATAATTTTGGAGTGTATCCGTAACATTGATAATTAGTTATTTTATGGTATTTCACAATCAGTTTTAAATAACAAAATTTATTCTCTTGAGAAGTGTTATTTATCATGTTTTAGATTTATACGTATGTATTGTAAACAAAAAATTTGTTAGATATAAATTTAAATTTTATTTATCACTTTAAAATCTCAAAATTATACTTTTGAAAGTTTTAACCAGTTTTGAATCTTATAAAATTTTATAAAAGAAATGTAAGTTTTGATTTATTCAATTTTTTAAGCTATAAAATAGAATAAAATTTTTCTATTTTTTTTTTACTATAAATTTTTTTATTTTTAAATAAAAATTTGAAGATGTTACAAATATAAATTCAACTTTGATTTGACAAATTAAATTATATAAGAAAATGTACGCTTTTCAATTTTTGGTTTGTTTTGATTAATTTAACATTTTGAAATGTTTTAGATTATTACTAAAAATGACAATAAGTTAGGCTTTACATAAGTAATTTGTTCTATTTAATGATTTTGAAACCTGAATTTAACTTATTATTTATCATAATTTTTTTATTAAGTTTAAATTTTAAAAGTTTAATTTGACTTATTAACCTTTTAACAATTGAAACCTTTAGTAAGCTATTAAACCGCTATATAAATAAGATATCAAATCATTTAAAAAAGTATGTCTTTATAAAAAATAATAAAGCTTATATTTAAATAAGCTAAAAATAGTTCAGTACCTTAAATCTCTATGATAAAATTATATATTTCTATTTATCACTTTCAAATTATATATTTAATTTAAATAAGTAAATCATTAAATATACAAAAAACACAATTAAATGAACATCAAAATATAAACGATTAAGCAAAGTAATAAAATAAAGTTTCAAACTTTAAATCAACAAACACAATATAACTAAATAAGTTTTAGATTTAAAATTAACGAATGCAACAAACAAAAATATAAAATCAATAAATAATAATATTGTTTTGAAGTAAAGTATAAATATATTAATGAAAAAAATGCATCAACTAATAATAATCCAAAAAACTCCATCAAGTAACGCTTTATCTTAAAGATATTTAAGAGAAACATTCTCAAACTCCAATAAAAAAAATAGAATTTTTAATTTAAAATTTTATTCATTTTAAAATTTAATTTAGTTAATATAGAATTATATTATACTTTTTATATAAACTTATTTAATATATTGTAAAAATTAGATTTAATAAAATTTTTTAAATTTAAATCTTACCTATTCAAATAATTAAACCTTTTTAAATTTACCTATTTTTATTTCTAATTATTCTCTCTACTTTAGTTGATCAATCCCATGGGATTAAACAATAATGACATTAATAATTTATATATAATTTAAAAAAATCATTTTATAATTAATCATGATAAATAAAATAATATTATACGAAATACTAACTAATATATATAATTTATAAACACTAATTCTCGAATGAAAATATTTTTAAATAAAATTTTTAAGAGTATTTATAAATAATTTATTTTTAATTTAATATTAAATTCCATTTTTTATAATTTATTTTAATTTTATTTAATGTAATAAAATATTTATTATTAATAAGTTATGATGTTTATTTTTTAAAATTTATAAAAACTTATTATTAAATTTAAGAATAATAATTTAATACTTTTAATTATTTATTTATTGAAAAATAATTTTTAATTCAATAAAAGATATGTGCAAAGAATGAAAAAATTATTAGTTATAGTTAAATTATTAACGACAAATTTTAACATGCCAACGAGGAAAATGGCTTGAGTGGTTAGTTTAGGGTACTTAGCCTGAGATAGATGCCATGTTGACCTGCTTTACAACCTTTTCACACACACACACACACTCACAAGAGTTTTGTAAATAATTTACACTAAATTAAACAATGCAATTAAATATTATTTCAAAATAACATTTTTGCTGATAATATTTTTGAAGAATTTAATGTAACTCTTTGAACAACAAATGAAAGTGAAACAAGTTTTTGCCTCTCACAGAATGGCAGTAATAAGCAAAATTAGCACTATTCATTCAACAATGCTGCCATCTACCAACTCACAATTTTGTCAATTTGGGCGTATTCCCACCTCTCGGTAGGAGTTATTAGTCATTCTCACATTAACTATTAAAGAAAGAAAAATGCGATTTCACAAATAAAAATTCTTATACTTCATAGCATACGGCTACTTTTCAATTTTTAAGTTATCTATTGACTATTTATATACAAATAATATTAAAATATTACATACATTTTATCCAATATTTTATTTCTTCTAGTAAAATACAACAAACCGTTATACTTTTAATTTTTATTATTTATTTATAGATACAAAATATAAAATTTCCTTTTGTATATATCATAAGACAAAGTATGCTTTTTAATTAAAAATTCATGTATTTTTTATTAGTATTATGTTATAAATATTTTTATTTGAATAAAAATACTTCTTTAAAAAATACAAATTTTTAAATTAAAATAATTATTTTAATATAACTAAAGATGTATATTATGATATTAAGTTAAAAATAAATTTTTTATGGAATAAAAATATTTATTAATTTTTTAATATTTAATGAGGCTTACAAGTTTAAGAACAACACAAAATACTTAAAAAGCAATAAAAGAATAAAGAAAATTTAGGGTTATTATCTTCAAATTATAAAAAAATTAATAATATGTGTTGTAATAATTTAAAATATTTATTAAATTATATTTAATCTTTACTACAAATGATTTTTATGAAAAATAATAATTTTCAAATAAAATAGAATCACTGTGAATAACAAATTATTTAAAAAATATTTAACATAAGGACATTAAACACTAAAAGTAAAATAACGTGTTAAGATATAGAATAATAACCGTAGCAAATATATTGACGCGGTGGTTAGGGATGGCAATGGGTAAAGTACCCGATGTGCACCCGCAAAATTTACCCACAATGGGTAGGGTATTTACCCGCTATACGGGTACGGGTATGGGTGTGGGTAAAAACCCACAAATTTTAATGGGGATGGGTGCGGGTATGGGTATCTATGTACCCACCCCGTCCCATACCCGCACATATATATATATATATATGCTTGAACTTTATTCTACAATTATGCATTAAATTTTTGTATTATTATATTACTTATGTGAAGTTATATAAGATTAATATAAAAATATATTTAATAATAAAATAAACCAAAAAATTTATTTTGGTTTATATTTTTAATAGAAAAATTTATTTACTATTTTATATCATTTAATTAGGCTAACACAATTTAATTATTACATAGTTAATATAAGATTGACTTTTTTTAAAATATTATTTATATATGACACACATAAAATATTTTTTACACAAATATTTTTGTTAATAAAATCATATTGATGTTTAAAGTATAAAGTGAATGATAAATAATAAATATATTATAAATATTTTATAAATTTTACAATCACCTACTATTACCGTAAACTTATTATTTATTAATAATATTTAAATTTTATTTTTATATTTTAATTTAAAATAATATTTTTCTATGTAACATATGTATTACAAGCACAACTATAATCTGTTGAATCTAAATAATATTATTCTTACTATTTATTCACATTCAAAGAAGTTTTTGAAAAGATATAAATATAAAAAATTATTATTAATTTTTATTTGTTAATTTTTTTAAGATAAAAAAGTATAATTTTTTTAATATACACGTATATTTCTTTATTATAAAATTTTATTGTAACTATTTATCTTTTATTTAAATTCTTTTTTTTTTAATTTATATACATTATAAATATTTAATTCACTAAAATAATTTTTCAAAAATTTATATTTTTGATAAAATACTTTCGTATAGTATATGAGTTAAAAAATACTAGTATTAATATATATATATATATATATATATATTAATTATATTATATTATTTTAATTAAATCTATTATTTTTCTTACAATTTCAAATTCAAAAGTTAAAAAAAATATTTTATGTATCAACTTTCTATTGTTAGTATTGAACTTCTCGACTCTAACTCTATTCTCATTCTCAATGTCTGTCTCGATAAAACTTAATAAAACTATAAAATGTTATTCATTAGAGTTAGTTGTTAATGTCGTCACATGAGGTTACTAAGTGATCCCACACGAAGGGATAACCATTGTACAAATCTATTTCGTTGTCGTTCTGACATTACCAACAATCAAATCTCACACAAGATAGGATTATCACTGACAAGTAACTTGTGTGTTTAGTTTTCCTTATTGTTTCTAAGAATTTTAGTTTAGAAAATTATTATATTAAGATACATTTAACATTTATGATCTTTGAATATTTGTTTTTTATCTATATTTGTACCTTGTTTGGCAACTACATATTGAATTTTTGTATTATTATGCTACTTATGTGAAATTATATAAACATATTTTTCTTTATAAATATTTTTTCTCAAACAAGCGCGGGTAATGGGTACAAGACGGGTATGCGGGTACCCAGAGAGTACGGATACGGGGATTAATGTTCATACCCATGCGTGTATGGGACCGGGTACGAGTATTTTTTTAAAACGCGGGTATGAGAATGGGTATTGTAGTACCCTACCCATACCCTACTCATTGCCATCCCTAGCTGGGGTGGGGTAGTTTTTTAACGTATTAGAGAAATCCTTAAACATGTATTAGGCGAATTATAATTGGTGAGTGACATCACTAAATCATAACAACAGCAAATTTCGTCGTCTCATACGCCACATAACTCGTTAAAGTAAAAGAATCCGTTGGCCATTAAGTTTAATGGAGGATGGGCCATCCCTAGGGCGCTTCAACGAAATTTCAAGCCCACATTATTATTATTATTAACATTTTTTCCCTTTCAAAAATTCAAATTCCATCGCCGTTTCTCTTCTCCATTATTATATTATTCCCTAGTCGGTCACCTCCTTCTCTCTCATCTCCCTCTGTGCTGTCTCTGTTCTACGCACACAACGCAACACCGTTCAACTCTGAGGTGATAGAAGCAGAAACACAGTTCCATAGAGATTAAGAGAAAGGGAATCTTTAAGGATTCAGCAGTTTGTAAAAAAACAAAACGAAAATAGAAAGATCTCAGATATGAAGAGGAAGCTCGAAAACTTGATGTGGTTAACGCGGAAAAGATCGATTCAGTTTCTGATAGGAGTGGCTCTGTTGTACCTCATCCTTGTCACGGTCGAAATCCCTTTCGTCTTCAAAACCGACTTCACCACCGTCACCACTCGCCCTCCAAGGCTTCTCAGCGAGGAGGACTCGCAACAAAGACAATCCCCAACTCGCCCTTTTAAAACTGTTTCCAACGCCGCCTCGCCGAGTCAACTCGCCCGCCGCGACATCGTTTCTTCGTTGGTCTTAAACGACGCCGCGTTCGACCTCAGCTTCAACGACGGGTCGTTGGAGCTATACAAGCTAGTGAAAAACGCGCGCGAGGTGGGGCTGAACCTCTGGGAAGACCTCGAATCCGGCAACTCGCGAAGCGTTATTTCGAAGCCCGAGAACCGGTCCGGTTCGTGTCCCGCTTCGATATCACTGGCCGGTTCGGATATTTCGGGCGTGGTGGCGCTTCCTTGTGGACTCACATTGGGGTCCCACGTAACGGTCGTTGGAAAGCCGTTGGCGGCTAAGCCGGATTTGGAGCCGAAGATAACGGTGGTGACGGAGGACGGTGAAGCCGTTATGGTGTCGCAGTTCGTGGTGGAGTTGCAAGGGTTGAAAACGGTTGATGGTGAAGAGCCTCCTAGGGTTTTTCACTTCAACCCGAGGTTGAAGGGTGATTGGAGTGGGAAACCGGTGATTGAACTCAACACGTGTTACCGGATGCAGTGGGGTTCCGCTCTCAGGTGCGATGGCTGGAAATCCAAGGCTGATGAAGATACCGGTGAGTTTCGAAACTGAACCGTGAAAAATTTGTTATTATTAGGAAATGTTATGTGATGTGGATAGTTTACTAGTAACTTTGATTTATTCAAGGGTGTGTTCTTTTTTTTTTTTTTTTTTTTTTAATTTTTCCATCTTTGGATTGATAATTGTTTCGGTTAAGAAATGCGAGATATTCCAATTTTGACTGGTGACTTTTTGTTCGATTGTGAAGTTGTAATTATTTGAATTAATTGAGTTGTCTGTTGCAATGGGTACAGTTGATAGGATGGTGAAGTGTGAAAAGTGGATTGAGGATGGTGAAGATCACTTGGAGGAGTCTAAGGCAAAGTGGTGGTTGAATAGACTGATAGGGCGCTCGAAGAAAGTAACGGTTGATTGGCCATTCCCCTTTTCTGAGAACAAGCTATTTGTTCTAACTATTAGTGCTGGGTTGGAGGGGTATCATGTTACTGTTGATGGGAGGCATGTGGCATCTTTTCCTTATCGCGCTGTGAGTAATAACTATTGAGTATACTTTCGCTTGAAGTTGTGATTGATTTGTGCAATTGCTTGAATTTTTTGCCTTTTAATTTCAACAGGGTTTTACTCTTGAGGATGCCACTGGGCTTTCTTTGAGTGGAGACATTGATGTTCACTCCGTATTTGCAGCCTCTTTGCCTTCGTCGCATCCCAGTTTTGCCCCGCAGCGCCACCTTGAATTTTCTACCAGATGGCGTGCCCTGCCACTTCCTGGCTCTGGTGTAGAGTTGTTCATTGGTGTCCTCTCGGCTGGAAACCATTTTGCTGAGCGGATGGCTGTAAGGAAGTCATGGATGCAGCATAGGCTCATCAAATCTGGACTAGTGGTTTCTCGTTTCTTTGTGGCACTGGTAATGGTTACTAATTGATAGGCCTTTTGTTTTAAATTTTATGATTTTATTTCTGGTGTTTCAATTGGGGTTTCTTAAGATTTAATTCCAAATTTGGCAGCACCCACGACAAGAAATTAATGTAGAGTTGAGGAAGGAAGCAGAATATTTTGGTGACATTGTTATAGTGCCTTACTTGGATAATTATGACCTTGTTGTGTTGAAAACAGTGGCCATATGTGAATATGGGGTGAGTTTTTGATTGATTAAAAAAATTGACTATTGAAAATACTCATTTTTCAGTGATGTGTGAGATTTATTTTTTCTATTATGAATTATAAGATGTGCTTTATTGTTCATAGGTTCATACTGTTTCTGGTAAGTACATCATGAAAGGTGATGATGACACTTTCGTTAGGGTGGATGCTGTTATCAATGAAGCAAGGAATGTTCCAGATGATATGAGCTTTTATATTGGGAACATAAACTACTACCACAAACCCTTGCGCTATGGGAAATGGGCAGTGACATACGAGGTAATCAGAACCCATTGCCCATTGCGATGCTTTTGTATATAATTAAGGATTGGGAGTTCTCTGGAAAAAAAAATCATAATTTTGTTTTTCATGTTAGTGTCAATTAGTTTATATTCTGATCCAACTAATGCCTAAACTTATTTGTTTTCTTCTTCCCTTCCACTTCGTATTGTGCGGTGCATTCAACCATCACTTTTCTTTTATGGACTGTATACCATGGTCCTTGACTGTGTTTGCCATATTGTGCTTAATTTAACTAGGCCTCACTTTCTTACTATTGCCACATTAAACGTGCGGGAAAAATCTTGGTGTATTTAAATACTGTATCTTATTAATTTATTTGTTGCCTGTTGTTTCAGGAGTGGCCAGAAGAGGATTATCCACCCTATGCAAATGGACCGGGTTATATCTTGTCATCAGATATTGCACGCTATATTGTATCTGAATTTGAAATGCATAAATTAAGGGTTAATGAACATTTTTATATATATTGCACCTTTCTCGTTCATGTATACTTGAATTTCTTTCGTTTGAAATTCTGTTTGGTTGAATGTTTCCTTGATTTCTTCTTTATGCAGTTGTTTAAGATGGAAGATGTGAGTATGGGAATGTGGGTACAGCAATTTAACAGCTCAAAACCAGTACACTACTCACATAGCTTCAAGTTCTGCCAGTTTGGTTGCATTGAAGACTATTACACTGCCCATTACCAATCGCCTAGGCAGATGGTGTGCCTGTGGGATAAACTGCAAAGGCAGACAAGGCCTCAATGCTGCAATATGAGATGACAATGAGGAATCGGTGTGATCTTTGATTCCAGTGAGAGGGACAAAGAAAACAAGTTTTGCAGTGAGCTCTCAACATTGAATATTGTATATAACTGGAGCTTGGTTAGTTAAATGTCGCTCTGTATAAATGGCCTTTTGAATCTCGGTATTTATTGTTATTCTTTTTGTTCCTTTTTCGATCCCCTTTTTGTGGGGTTCTCAATTCTTTTGGTTATGTGAGATTCTTTTGGCTCGGGATTGGAAGATGATAAAAGGGGAAAGGGGGGAGGGGAATTTATTGATGCAGATGCTAGTTCTGTATAATAATTTGAAGGATAGCATTCGATATCCATACAAGATATAGATCAATCATTACACCTGGTCAGTGCTTTTTGCCACCTCTCTAATTTCTAGAAATCAATTTATAGCATTTGAAAATAACTAAAAATCAATTTATAGAACTGCAGCAATATAAAATATATTTATGTCTATTTACTTTTGTTGTAATTTAACCAAATATTATTTAGTTTTTAATAAGAAGTGATTGTTAATATGTTTTTTAAAAAATAAAAATAAAAATAAAAATAAAAATAAAAATTTATTTTAAAAATATCAATAATATTTTTATACCCTTATTTATCGTGAAATTTATATTATTAAAATACTCTTTTTTATTTATATAAGCATATATATATATATATATTATTTGATAGATGAGATATTAATAAATATTTTTATTAATTAAACATTGTTTTTTTATAATAGAATAAAAAATTATAAAACACGTAAAAGGTTGGACGATAACTTGAATTCATTGAGTAATTTTTTTAAAAAATTATTATATAAAAAGTAGAAAAATTTAAAAAAGTTAAGTGAAGAATTTTCGAAAAATAGAAAAGATAAGTTAACTGTAACTTATTGAAGAAATGTGATTTATTTTTTTATTTAATTATTTATAAATATTTAGTGTGCGATAAAAACAGATTTTACGGGTATATAAGTGTTATTTATAAAAAAAAGGTTTCATTATTGCTTTAATTGTTAATTTCATAATAACTCAAGAAGGTAGAATTCGTATTGAGAATGGATTCATAAGAAAAATCAAGTTGTGAATATATGAATGAAGGACAAGAGGAGGAAGAATATAAAGAAAAAATAAATTATGAATAATAGACCATGACAAAAAGCCTAACACACAATAAGATAGATGAAGTTGTAAACAAATAATTGAAGTAAGATGAATGATTATATAAAATACAAAAAATATGCTAACAAAAAAATACCACACATTTCTTATAAATGTTAAGACAAGACACATGATAAGTTAAAAGTTTAGTCTTTTTTTTTTCCCTTTATTTTTCAATATATAATTATTCTTTTCATTTTAAGACATCCATCTAAATTCTTAAAATTAATATTTTTTAACTTTTTATTTTTTCAATGTTTTCTTAGTATTCTGATTTTTTTCTTCAACTTTAACTGCTTCTTGTTTTCTTTTTACTTAAAGAAATATTTTATTTGTTTTTTTTAAGAAACACTTGAAGCTAATGCACCTTCAACATTAGCTGGTTATTTTATTTTTTTTAGTGTATATTTTTAGCTCTAATTAGGAGTATGCATGAATTTGTTTAGCGTAAAGTCAACCACATCTATTTAGACAACCACATCCATTTAGAAGCATACTGTAATGATTAGATTTTAGAAGCAATCCGCTTTTTTTTTTTTTTCATAAAATTGATTATATTTTAAATTCAATATTTAGCTAAAATTATATTTAAATCTCATTTTTAAAGTTAAATTCGGTTTTGTATGTTTAACAAATTAAAAGTAACAAATTCTTACCCATATAGCCAATTTTATACTAGATCCTCGCGTCAATTTGACAACAATAACTCTTTGTAATAATAATTATAAAAAAGGCTTAAAATTTATTCATCTCTCTTTAAATCCTTAGGTAAAAGCAAATATATCATATTCAAAGAACTAAAATTAAATTCTAACGAGAAATAAAAGCAACAGATCATTTTTTCTTAAAATTTTTGTCTACCTATTCTTATTACTCCTTTCTTTTTCTCTAAAGTTTTGTTTAGAAGTTAATCTTAGAAAAAAAAAGAAGATTAAAAAGAAGATTTATTTGATGGGTAACTCTTGTTCAAGATTTTTTAAATGAGTATCTCTAAAACCCTTCCATAGCCTCATGTTTTTAAAATTCTTTAAATTATATATTTTTTTTGTCTACACTTCTTTCTTTTTTTTCTTCTCCTCTTTCACCCTTCAAAACTTTATCTTCTCTCTTTTTCCAAATAAAAGCTAAATAGAAAGTAGATCTTAAAATTAAAATATAGATATAATAACATGAATCTCTACTATAAGTAAAGATTTTATTAGAATTTTGAAGGGAGCAAAAAAGGATTTAAGAGGTTAAGAAAGTTGAGGAGAAGGGAGGGAGAAAGAAGGTTAACAAACCCTCTATCCCCTTCCCCCTCTCATTTTAGATTTTTTTTTTAAATATTAGTTTATAAGAAATTTAGAGAATTTAAAAAACTTTCATTTACATTTAAAAACTTTCAAATAACAGTTATTATTAAACAAAGTTACTCCTAAAATTTTGTTCCTAAAATTTACTCCCGAACAAAGACTAAACAAAACAAAGTCATAATAGTACAACATTAGAAAACGTAAGATCAATTTTGTTCCATTAATAAATACGACTTATAATTTTAACAAATAAGGTTAATAAATAAATAAAAGAATGATTAAACAATATGTTTTAGTAATTAGGTTCATTAGGTTAGACAAAATCACAAAAAGATGGTCAAAATAAAAGAAGATAATGACAATGAATAAACATGATAAGGTTTTGGATGATAAGAAGAGTAATCCAATTTTAAAAATGGTTGCAAAGTAAATCTAGTAAAAAAATTAAAGTAGGTTAAAAATCAATTTTAATATTATAATTTTGTAAAATAGTTTGACTTTGGTAATGGATTGGACTTGTGAAATTAATTTTGTTTACCTAGCTCTATCTCTAAATGTTTGAAACCCTATAAACATATTGTTTAGATGAAGAAAGATAAGTGTTGAAATTTATTCTTAAGTTAAATTTATTTATATGTAAGGAATTGAAATAACAAAAGTAGGTAAAAGGTCAATATCAAAGGAGGATGAAAGAAATTTTTTGAATAATTAAAGAATACTTATAAGAAAGTTTTGAATGGATTATTAAATTTAAGGTCCATCAAAAAGAAAATTGAAAATTACTTCCTCAAAATCACTCTTGTTACACTAAGTTGTTGCAAATTTGAAGTTGATAAACCATAATCACCATTATTGAGCTACAACAATATTTTATTAAATAATTAATTAAAAAATAACTTATAGTCCAAACATCTAAAGTAAGAAGATTAGAAAGTTTAAAGTATTCTTATTTTTTGTTGCCATGACTATCCTATCTTCAAATAAACTTGAATTGAGAAATAAAAAGATATTTATGTAAATTTTAAGATTTAAAATTAATCTTAAAATTTTGAAATAACAAACATTTAAACTTAAAAAGTATAGAACTAAAATATGGTTTTACTATTTAAAAATTAAAATTGATAACTATATCAAACATACATGACCTAAAATTTGATGATGTTTTATTTTAAAAATATATGTTTTATTTAATTATATGAAATATCATTAAATAATTAAGCTATATTTGTAAGAGTAACTTGTGATAGATTTCTCAATTCATTTAAGCCTAATAAGAGAATATTTGATTTCTCGTTCTCTTTTTTCTTCACAAACTAAGATCAATCAATTCTTCATGCTAGGTATTGTTTTTCTCAGTTGATCATCATCAATTTCCCTATGAAATATGTAGTGATTTTGTATCTTATCATTACAAATTATATTATAATTACATAATTAAAATATCCTTCAATTGGTATTAAAATATACTAAGATATTGATTATGATTGTTTAGTGTTGAAACCAAAATCATATTTATTTATTTCATATACTTTTCTTATTCTTACTTCAACTTCTGCTTACTTTTTTTTAGCAAAAGTAGTTTGTGACTATCTATGATAGAATGAGGATATTTAAAGCAACATTCTTCCTCTCATTAGCACTACTAGTTGTGTGACCTTATAATTCTCTCAATTTTTTTAATAAAGTTCTTGCTCTTCATTGTTGTCATAATCTTGTATTACTCTTTAAATTACTTCACTATATATTTTTTTCTCATTCTTTTTATTGACTTGTAACTCTTTTTAACACTCTTGGATAGCTTAGACATATTGAAATATTAACACATTTAGTCATTACATATTTTATTTTTCTAAGAAATCTTCTTTTCGTTGGTGTCATTTTTAGTGTCAAAATTATAACTTGATGTAGACCTACTACTATTTGTAGTTGCGTTGATAAAAAATTCTCACTTTAATTTTGACTTGTAGTTGTCTTATAGGTGAGACAAAGATGATCTACAAGAATTTAAAAAAGAGAAAAAAATATAAAGAATACCTTAAAAAGGAAAAAAAGTGAAGAATTTAAAATATATATATATATATATATAGAGAGAGAGAGAGAGAGAGGAATAAAAGGAAAAATGGAGAACATAATAAAAGAAAATAGGAAAATTGAAAAAGAAACCAAGAAAAAAAATGTTGGGGAGTAAAGAAGAAGAAAAAACTAAATAAAAGACTAAAAAAAATTATGAATAAGAAAATACAAATGAAGAAAAAGACAAAACAAGATGTTAAACAAAATAAACCTAAGAAAAATGATACTCAAAATGTGGTGATCATTAAAGATTAAGTTGTTAGAGTTAAAATAGTCAATGATAGGTAATAGCGTTATATGTGAATGAAAAAAGGTTAAACCTTACTAAAGGTTAAACCCTAATTAAATTTTATAAAAATGAGTAAAAAATAAAAAAACATTTGTCACGCATACCATAATCTACTAAGGTGCTGTAACAATGGCATATGCAAAACATTAATCGAAAACTAGAACCACAAAATACATTGCAAAAAAGTAGGCATAAAAATTGACTCTACTATTATGTTATGATTATATCACAATGGCCATTTGATTACATTGATTAGTAAATAAATATTTTAGTAAAAGTTATTGATAAAGCTAATTAAGTATTGATTGTGAGTTAGATGTTTTGCACTATCAGAAAAATGATAAGAGTAAAAGTTACAAGTTAGAGGAGTTTATTGACAACTTGAAAGATGTGAAAAAGACATACATGCATTTTAAGGAATTTTACATTACTTATCCAAGCAAGTAATTGAAAATATACAAATCTTATAGTTAAAATAGTTTCAAAACATTATAAATAATGTGAAAAATACAAAGTTGTTGAAGAAATATTCAATTATGATAACTATAATGAACTATTGAACA